GGCATAGGATTCCCTGGAACTGGATGGTTGTTAGCCCCCATGTGGGTGCTGGGAATTGAACCTGGGTCCTCTGCAAGAGCAGCCAATGCTCTTAACTGCCGAGCCATCTCTCCAGCCCCCCTCGACGTAGTTTTTAACTGCTTAGATTGCTTCAAGTCTTTGGGGGTATGTGGAGGATAGATAAAGCAGGGTAACAAACTGCAGTTGTTATTTGTTATTTCCTCAGCACCAGCTCTCGAGTTCTAAACTCAGCTTGACCCCCTGGCTATGTCCTTGGACAAGCCAGTTAGGGGTGGAGTTAACTGGTGGGTAGTGGCCTCTGCGCAGTTTGTTTCCCTTCTTTCTTATGATGACCATTGTGGAACACCCCAAAGTCAGGAAACACACAGAATTCTGAGTCTGTTGTCTGTACTTGGTGAGACACTACCCACAGATGGGCTGCAGAATGCTGTGCTGGATAGACTTGGGGCCAGACTCCACCTGCCTCAGTGAGAGAAGCAGCTGCCCAGCTCTCTCCATGCAATGTGGCATTGAGGGGAGCCCCATGCCCCAGCCCCCACACTCCAGAGAAATTCATTATTTGTTGGGACTTCTGCCTTTGTGAATGAAGGCGCAGAGTCCTTCTCCAGGCCCAGGCTGTGTACACCCCACAGCTAGCTCTGTTTTCTTGCAGTAACACTTCCCTCTTGCAGGCTGTGGTCTTGTTCAGCTGAGCATCAATTCCCCTAGGAGCAACTTCAGAGTAGATGCTCTTCCCAGCTGCAGCGGAGGGGGAACTGGAGAAGCAGTTCTCACCCTCAGATTCTTGGTGCTTTTTCCCTCACACCTCTTGGCCTTCCTGGGAGGAGGCTGGTGCTGCAGCCTTCAGGAGAGTGTGTTTTGTATGGTTTCTGAACTTTGATTCGTTGACTCATACCAAGGCGCAAACTTCGGAGGCCTCCTACTCTGATTGCTTTGTTCCTTTTATTCTTCACTCAAAGCTTAAGTACCTTTCACAGTCGAACCTGACTCGTTGTGCAGGAAGTGGAGCACTGGCACGGAGTGGCTTCCTTCAACTGCATGGCCTGGGCTAGCAGCCCTTCTCTGACTCTAGGAACTCCTGAGCAGCTGAGCCGTCCCTGGCTGGACAGGGTCAGTGTGAAGACTTGGGCAGCTGGGCAGCATCTGTTGTAAGGATCCGAGGGACACTCCCTGCTGGTGAGTGCTGTGCCCAGGAATCAGTCAACAACGTGGCAAGCTGTTGGTACAGACCAGTCAAGGGAGGAGAGTGAGTGAAAAGCAGGTTGGAGAGCAGTGTGCAGGTGAGGACTACCCTGAACACTCAGCCTTTTCCCATCTTAATTTTTTTTAATGTTCAATTACAGAAATAAGGTACACATCTTTTAACTGCCTGTTGGTGTGATCTCTGTTCACTTTTAGCAAGGATTTGTGTGTGTGTGTGTGTGTGTGTGTGTGTGTGCGCGGGGAGAGGGGTAAGCTCTTCAGTTTAAGTAAGAACTCCAGTCATGGACTTTGCAGCGAGTTTTATGTGATGAAGTCAGGCTCTGTGGCTCTGTCCTCAGGCTCACAGAAGTGTCCACTGGTCTACATATTGCTTCTGTGGTACCTAGTTTCCTGCCTGAAGGCAGATCAGGAACCTTTGGCAGCAGCCTCAGGGCCAATGAGGAGACTGAACTGTCTTAATTTGATTTCACTAATTCTCTGCAGCCATTAGAAAACTCAGTTTTGTCATTCAAGATTAGGGGCTTTTCCCCCTGGCCAGATGATGCCATACTGGAGTCCTCACACCTGACACATGAATAGGGATATGGATCTTTCATTCACACCTCTAAGTTACCTATAGCAGTAGGGAAGAGGGGACGTAAGGTTGAAAAGAAAACAAAAGTCTAGGCCAGCACACTCATGTTCGTAGTAACTGATTTTATAATTACAAAACAACTTTTTTACTTAGTTTTTATTTTATGTGTTTAAGTGTTTTGCCTACATGCATGCAGTGCCCACAGAGGCCAGAAAAAAGCATCAGATTCCCTGGAACTGAAGTTACGGACAGTTGTTAGCCATCAGGTGGGTGGTAGGAATCAAACCCAGGCCCTTGGCAAGAGCAGCCAGTACATTTAACTGCTGAGCCATCTCTTCAGTCACTCAAGTTTGTAGTAGCTTGAATCACAGTAACCAAGAGGTAGAAGCAACTCAGGGGTCTGTGGCTGGATGAATGGACAGATGCAACATGTAGAATATACCAGGGGGGTTATTCTTCAGCCTCAAAAGGAAGGAAATTCTGATACATATGACATCATGAATGAACAACATGGAGCACATTAAGCTAAGTGAAATAAACTGTGACAAAAGGACAAAAGCTGGATGATTCCACTCACATGTGGTATCCAGAAAGGTCAAGTGCATTGAGACAGTAGAAATGTTGCCAGCTGGGGCAGGTAGAATGGATGGTCAGAGGAGAGTTTTTATTTATTTGAAACAGGGTCTCCCTGTGGCCCTCACTATGTAGACCAGGCTAGCCTTGATGTCACAGAGATCGGCCTGCCTCTGCCTCCTGAGTGCTGGAATTAAAGGTGTGCACCACCATGTCAGGTAGGCATAGTTTTTGTTTTACAGGATGAAGAGGTCTAAGGATGGATGGTAGTAGCAGTTGCTTAACTTGAATGGATTTAATGCTACAGAACTGGTATGTTTAAAGTGAGACCTTGTGTATGCTAGGCAAGCACTCTACCACTAAGCTACATGCCTAGCCCCTTGAAATTTTTTTAAATTAAAAATTCTTTTTGGAAAGGGCATGGACAAGCAGACAAAAAACAAAAACAGTTTTGTGGGATAGAGTCTGCTTCTCTGTGACTTCCTCTAAATCTAACTGAAAAACAAAACAAAACATCAAACTGGAGATCTGTGGTCAAGCACTAAACTTTTTCATGGACTCTGTTGAGAAGCTGAGGGCAGGATGACTTTCTCTTTACCATGGTCAACTTCCAGTGGTGGATCCTCCTCAGCGTGGCCTTGGGGGCAGGACAGGGTACTGAATGGGTACAGTTGGGCCTCTGTGTTGTGGAGGCACACTGCAGGTGACCACTGGAGGGCGCCCTCTGGCCTGAGCGACAGATACCGCTTCTCTTGGCAGGCTGGTCTCCCATTTAATACCTCTGTGCAAGTCATCAAAGGCTATTTTCCTCACACAAACTGCATCGTGAGGAATGAGGTAGCACGATCTATCGGGAAGGGAGGTTGGGTTTCCACAGTGTAGGAAGTAGCACTTGACAGTTATGAAATGCTGCACACACAGGTGCTATCTGTGAATCTTTATCCCATGGCCTTTCCTCCTCTTTTGGTTTCTTGTTTCCTGGGAGGCTCTTCCAGACAGGGTGACAAACCTTGGGCCCAGGAGCCTTCGACCTGGGTCTGCTGATTCCAGAAGAGATCCATGTGATCTGATTCCCCTGTCTCACCTGTGATGTTCCCCCCTCCTTCTGTCCCTTTTCTTTCTTCTGTTCTCTTCGGTGTCTCTGACTTCGGATTCCACTAGGAAGCCTTCCCATGGGATGGTTCCCTTGAGTACCGTGCATAAGGAGAAGAGAGTTGGGCTGCTGACCACTGTAAGAGCTCCTGAGGAGATATGGAAGATTTTGATGCTGTTACTTCTGGGCTGTTTGTGACTTGCAGTCAAGATTGAGGAAGAAAACTGAGATGAAGTTGTTTAAACTTTCAAGTCTTAAAAATAGAAAGGCAAAGCAAGCAGCTGGGTGTTACAGCTCCAGGACGGTCACATCCTGGTCGGGTAGGACAAGGGGAGGCTCCTGAGAATAGGCCCTCACCCCTAGTTCCTTATTTAGAAGACATTTGTTTTAAAAGGAAATGAAGTTGATGTAGAGGTCCCAAGGGAGAATTATTTTCTGCAGTAGGTGATTTCTTTCTGTAAATTTTGTATAAAAACAGCTGTCTGGTTGCACACGTATCTTTTGAAAAATCTCAGAAAATGAGCCCTGGTTGGTGGTGACTTGCAGGCTCTGTGGAAAGCTTCAAGTGCTGACGAGGGTCCCATGTGGCCGTCTGCCTGCCCACCCCAATCAGATGCAAGGCTTTTCTTTTTTTTTTTTTTTAAATTTTATTTATTACTGCCTGCATGTATATAAGTACACCCATGTCATGCAGTGCCTGTGGAGGTCTGTTTCTCTTTCATTGATTTATGCCCTGATTCTCATGGGAGTGATAGTGAGGTCAAGGTGGCTATTGTTTGCCACATGCCTGGAGTTTACAAATGGTGGGGCACTAATTCAAGGTGAGAGAAGTTCAATTTAGTATAAAGAGACTGACTAGGCTAAAGGGTAGGATTCTATACACAATAGTTAGCTTTTTAATATTTTATTTATTATTTTTATTTTATGTGGATGTGTGTATTGCCTGGAAGAGGCTGTTGGATCCCCTGGGACTGGAGTTTTGGACAGTTGTTAGCTGCTGTGTGGGTGCTGGGATTTGAACCTGGGTCTTCTGCAAGAACAACCAGTGTTCTTAACCACTGAGCCATCTCTCCAGCCCAGATGCAAGGCTTTTCATTTTAAATGCTCTTGTTTTTGTCACACCTGGCTGCAGTTACAAAACAAACACTAAAGGGAAACTACCCAGTTGCGTTTTGCTTTTTCCATTTCTGCAGTGGTAAAATGTGCCTCCTTCCTGAGCACAGCTCAAAGTGACAAGCTATTTTGGGAATTTACTGTTTGTTACTTTTTGTCATTTACTAGCTATGTAGGCTTTACTCTGTGCTACTCTGAGCCTCAGTTTCCCTATCTTCCTATGAGGAGAAACAGGAAGTTTAATTAAGAGCTTATAAAAATGACGAAACCAGGAAGAGCCACACAACAGGAGCGTTTCCACTCCCCCGCCCCGCACTCCCCACCCCTGGTTGCCATCTTTCTGTTCTTCCTCTCTCTCTGGAATAAGTGTAGCGGTGCTTGCATGAGTGACAAAGGGTGAAGGTAGGGTGTGGATGGGGCATCAGAACTGGAATGCTTTCAGAGGATGTAACAGTGGGCTTAGCCTGTGGAGGGAGCAGGCATTCCAGGTAAGGGCAGAGCCTGAGTAAAGGAGTTGTGGAGTTACCCCCAGTGTGAGGTGACTGTCAAATTGGTGAGTGTTCTCTTTCAAGTTGGGCTCCAGCCAATGGTGCTGAAAGAGGACTGGTCCCTATTCACAGAGAGGTGAGACCAGACCAGAGACATGGGCCTAAGAGATTGGGAGATAGATCAGGGCTGATCGTGAAGCCCTGCCTCTCATGTGGGAGAGTTTTGACCTTTTACTCTGCGTAGGATGGAAGGATGTAGAGGTTTGGGGAAACACGATCAGTGGATATGCATTACTGGGTGGGGTATGCCAAGCAAGCAGCATATGGAGATCCCAGAGAGCTGTGAGGACAGCTCACAGTTTTTGGATGACCTCTGGCCTTTCTTTAACTTTCCTTTAAAAAGAAGTTTACATTTATTTATTTAGTGTGTGTGGGGGGGTGTCATGGCACTAGGGAATCAAACTCAGATGATCAGGCTTGGTGGCAAGCTCCTTTACCTGCTGTGCCATCTCCATGTCGCCTCTTTACCTTTCAAAAGAAGATAAGTCATGCCTCGCCTGTATTTTGAAAGCGCATTTTTCTAATTAAAACAATTATGCTGAGCTCGATCCCATATGGTAGATGGAGGGAACGGACTCTAGTAAACCTCCACACCCACACTGTGGCACACGTGCACACACATTTAATTGTGCTTATCTTAGATTTATGGCTTGTTATTTACATTTTTATCTATTTTCCAGAGTAGATTAAGAACAAGTTGAGATTGGATTGTGTCTTATTTTGTTTCTATGGAGTCCATACTGAGTAGGCGATCATTAAACTTGTTCCATGAAGGAGTGAGAAGACAGAACAGTATTGGAGGGAGCAGGGAGGACAGGGTAGCTGTGCAAAATGTCCAGAGACAGAATTAATGACTCACTGGATGTGGAAGTGAGGAGCCAAAGGTGACATTGAAACAGAAGATCCTATTCAGTGAGATTGTAAACTCAGGAAAAAAACATTTGGAGAGGAAAAAAGGCTCCAGCTTTGGTTACCTATTAAAGAAAAATCTACTGAATTCCTCAGTTCTAGGCATTAGGCAAAGTGATGGTGGCTCTGAAGATAGGTCAGAACACCTAAGTAACTCAGTCTCTTGATAAAGACAAATGACAATTCATTGTGAAATCTCAGAGGTGACGCTACGGTAGATGACACGACCAAGCTTTATTCTGTCTGTAGAATCCAGGATGGCTCTTCTGAGTAATGTGAGAGTTGAATTTGGAAGTTTGGCAAATGAAAAAGAGTAGTCTATACAGAGAGAAAGGTATTGCATAAGAACATTCTGGAAGACTTAGGGATCAGGAAGAGATTTACTTAGCTCTGAGTGAGGGCCATGTGAGTCACTGGTGAGTGCTGAGGTGGTTAAGGTCAGAGCCACACAGTGACACAGTTGTTTGGCATGCTCAGGGACCTGGAATCTTTGCTATAGTCACCAGGGATTTGGAGCAGAGGATTCTTTTAAGCAGAGAGAGATATGGTCTGATTTGTGTTAGAAATAGTATTGGCTCCAAGCCAGATGAGCTTGAGAAAGGAGCCATCAGTGGGCGAAGGCAGAGTGGGAGCTGAGCATGTAGGGGCAGCAGGAGAGGACTCTTTGTCTGAAGTTTGGCCTTGAAATTGTCCTGCACCTGGAAGGCCTTGGCTTTGTTAGCTCTGTCCCAGCTCCTGCCCTTCAGGGAGTGGTCCAAAAAGTCAAAGTGCAAGGCTAGCCCCGAAACACACATGCTGTGAAGGATTCACATGGGAGGATGGGATTTAAAGGTGAAGAACCTGGGAAGAGCACAGGGTAAAAAGAGGATAAGCAGGGGCTGGAGAGGTGGTTCAGCGGTTAAGAACACTGGTTGTTCTTGCAGAAGACCTGGGTTCAAATCCCAGCACCCACATGGCAGCTAACAACTGTCCATAACTCCAGTTCCAGGGGATCTGACAGCCTCTTCTGTCCTCCGTGGGCATTGCACAACATGGGTGCACTTACCTACATGCAGGCAATACATGTGTACACATAAAGTAAAATAAAAAAAGAAGATAAGCAAGAATCTTCACAGAGCAGGAACTGACAGAAATGGAAGACACTTCACATTTCCATCATGTGTTATGTGGCTAACCCTAAAGAACACATCCATCCATCCTCAATCTACCCTCCCTCCCTTCCTCCCTCCCTTCCTCCCTCCCTTCCTTCCTTCCTTCCTTCCTTCTCTGAGAGGATTTTAGTTATTTAGCCCAACTTGCCATCCTCTCCCTCCCTCCCTTCCTTCCATCCACCAGCAAATTTTCATTGGAATTCAATTATTCCAGGCACTGTCATAGATACTGGACATACAATACACAGCAGATCAGGCAAACTGGCTGGGAAAGATTTCCAGGAAGCATTGTTTTATTTTTTTTTTGTTTGGTTTTGGTTTTGGTTTTTGGAGTTTTTTGGTCTTTTCAAGACAGGTCTTCTGTAGCCCCAGCTGGCCTGGAACTCACTATGAAGACCAGGCTGGCCTCGATCTCATGGAGATCTACCTGCCTCTCCCTCCCGCGTGCTGTGATTAAAGGCGTATGCCACCACACCTGGCTTCAAGATATGTTTTAAAAGAGAAAAGCAAGTTGCTCACTAACACATAAAGCATAGCATCATTTATGTAAAGATAAAACATAAACAATCCTAAGATCATATTTTTGCCTCCATTAATATGTAAATAGGTGCACAGAGGAAGTGTTGGAGAGATGTGAACAGGTCATTAGGACAGGGACTATTGTAGATGCTGCCCAGGCGTTATGCTTTTTGCTTCTGTGTTGTTTGAATTTTTCATAGTAGGAAGGTTTTTGTGATTATATCTGCATTAAAAAAGATTTATTTTATTTTTTGTGTATGAGTGTTTTGCCTGCATGTGTGTATGTGCAGCATGTGTGTACAATGCCCTTGGAGGCCAGAAGAGGGCACTGTTCTCCTGGAACTGGAGATACAGTTGTGAGCTGAACTGAACCTAGGTCTTCTGCAAGAGCAGAACATGTTCTTAATGACTGAGCCATCTCTCTAGTCCTATGCTTGCATTTTAAGATGTTTCTGAAGGATGTTAAGTCTTTAGGGGTAGCAAAGAGAGAAAGACCCAGTGTGTCCTGAATGTTCCTCTTGATTTTGTTCTCTTTGCCTCTTGGAAACACCGTCAGGCTGCAGCTCCTTCCTTGTCACCCCCACCCAGGGAGGTTATGGGAGGGCACCCAAAGAGGAGGAGCCAAATTCCAGTCAGGACCTTCTGTTTTCAAGGTTCCATGTCATCTAAATCAAAGTCAGAGCCCAGCGCTGGATTCCTGGATAGCTTGTATTTTTCTGGGAGGGGAGCTTTGGCTCTACAGGGAGTATTTATTCTCCCCTGGTGAGCCTGGAGCCTATACTGCCTGCTAGGGCTGCCATAATGAGCTTGGCAAATGGGGGCTGACACAACAGAAAGTCACTGGGTTCTGGAGGCTGGAAGTCCAGAATCAGTCAACAGTGTTGGTTTCTTCCTAGGCATCTCTCCCTGGCTCTCTAACAGCCACCACTCTCCCTGCATCTTCCCATGGTCCTCCCTGTGTGCGTGTCTGAGTCCAAAGTGCCTCACTCTTCCTCTAAGAATAGCAGCCTTGAGTGACGATGTACCCTAAGTACCTCATTTGAAAGGTTCCATCTCCAAATTCATTCACATTCTAGGTACATTCTAGGTACCGGGACTGAGCACTTGAGTACAGAAATTTGGGTGGATGCTATCTTGCTCCTATTAGAGTCTGAAAATATGTTTCCTTGACTGGGTGCCTTGCTAATGCTTCCTTCCTAATGCTTGTTTCCTTGACTGGGTGCCTGGCTAATGCTCCCTGCAGAGCCATTCAGGAGTGAAGGCCTCAGAGAATGCACTAGTAAAAGCAGGGTGATTGCATCTGTGGCTCCCCAGACATACCGAGCAAATGAAAATCCCCAAGGGGACCAGGCTCACTGTGATTTCCTGACAGATAAGGCTGGGAGGGAGGAGCGCACACACAGCGAGCCCTCCTCACCCAGTAGCCCAACTGCCAGGCTGCTCGACGAACACCTGACTGTTGCTTTTTCTTTTTAGCTCATGCCTGTGGGGCTCTGCCAGGAGGAAGCTGGGGGCAGGACCCGTGCCAGGCACTGTCTGGTGCGATATGGAGCGTCCAAGCAAAATGGAGTTCTTCCAGAAGCTGGGCTACAGCCGTGAGGATGTAGTTAGGGTGCTGGGCAAGCTGGGTGACGATGCCCTGGTCAACGATATTCTGCAGGAGTTGATCCAGACAGGCAGCCGTCCCAGGGCCCAGGAAGGCCAGGCCAACAGCACGGGACCCCTGCTCGTGGCCCGAGGATGCTGCAGGGTCCTGGACTCTTCTCAGCAGGATGTGGAGTCAGGCCTAGAAGAGGCCAGTGGAGACCCAGCCAGCTCCCTGCGGCCCATTGTGATCGATGGCAGCAATGTGGCAATGAGGTAGGGCCCTACTTTCCTTCATACTGTTGCTTGGAGTTCCGGGCAGAGGCCTGGCTCTCAGGATAGGAACCATCCTCTGGTTTGGTCCAGAGAGCATTGGCACCAATGGATGGGGCCTTTTAAGATGACCATACAAAATAATAGGTTTCCTGATGACATAGTTGTACACGTGCATCATGTACTTTGAATATTCACTCTCCATTACCCTCTTTGTCTTCCCTCTCTCCTACTGTTCCCCTTCCCGAACCTTACCAAATAATACCTCTTCTGCTTTCATGCCATATATATGTACACGCACATATAAATCTAGATTCCATATGTATATGATCTTTGTTTCACTGAGTCAGGTTTAGTTTGCTTAACATGATGATTTCCAGTTCCATCTATTTTCCTGCAAATGACAATTTCATTCGTTAGGACCAAATAACGCTCCATTGTGTACACATATCACATTTTTTATAGCCTTTCATTTGGTGATGGACATCTAGGCTGATTTCATAATGAGGCTATTGTGAACAGGGCTTCCGTAAATATGGACTTGATGGTGTCTCTGTGCTGTGCTTGATTTAGATACATTTGAGGTATAGATCCAGGAGTGGTATCACTGGATCATATAGTAGTTCTAATTTTAGTTTTTAGGTTTTGTTTCTAATCTTAGATTGTCTTTGAATCTCTGTTCCATTTCTTTGTTTTCTGTTTTTTGGGACAAGGCCTCACTATGTAGCCCTGGCTAGCCTGGAACTCCATATGTAGACTAGGCTGGCCTTGAACTCACAGAGATCTGCCTGCCTCTGCCTCCCCAGTGCTGGCATGAAAGGCATGTTCCATCTCTTAGTAGCTATGTGAATGGAGCAAGTTGCCTCATCCTCTCCTTCTGTAATGTGGTATCAACCTTGCCTAGAGGGGAAGTGTGATAATCAGAACTGTGCAAAGAGCCCCCGCCAGTACCTGCTGCAAAGCCAGAATTTGGCAAGTGGGTGCAGTAACTGGACTCACCCAGAGGAGCAGCCTTCTTCGGGGGAAGGCAGCAGGCAACAGGCAGGAGCCCAGGGTCAGGTGCTGATAGCTGTGACTGTTCTGGACTGTCCCTAGCAGCAATGCTACTCTGGGAAAGCGAGAATACCCAGTTCCTTTTCTGTGCATGAAGCCAGCAGATCTCTGCTATCTTCCTTGGGGTTTGAGAACCAGAGGGCAAGTACTTGGGTTGGAAGCCCTCTGCTGGGGCTTTGTGGGGAGGCAAGGCCATAGTTCCTTTGTGAAGGCTGGAAGAAGAGTCTGTTGCCCTCTCATGCTGCTTTGAGCCTTGCAGATAGAGCTGGGACACTGTTTGTATCTTGGCTTCTGCATGTGTTTGGGGATTCCAGCATAATGCCACACGTGATCACTGTGCCTGATTTGGCAAAGCTCTGCTGTGGCACAATCTTTACAAACTGCCATGCTTCATTCTGGGTGAGGAGGGCATTGCGCAAACTTGTGGTGTGGCTTCCTTCTCCTGTCACTTACTTGGCTGAGTTACAGCTGGGCAGAGGGCAGAGCCATAGGAAATTGTTCACTGGCAGCTATAAATACTTGTGTTTCCCTTTTTAAAAGCTGAGTAGGAATTCCGAAAAGCAGTTATCAGCAGCTCCAAACGTGTCAACAGGCATCCAAAGTGCTCCCTGGGGATTTGGGCTCATTTTGAATTTGATATTGTAGAACAGAAGTTTGGAATGGTCCACCCCAATGTGGCCCAGCCTCAGGACTGTCCCCATATACCCAGCACGGACAGTATGTCCTAAGAGCATCCGTTCCATTTTTCACCTGCCAGGTCTGCCTGCCTCCATAATATCAGAGTTGATGTGCCCCCACTTCTCCCTGGGACAAGACCTACTAAGCAGGGTTGCTCTCACTGTCTCCCATATGCCCCCTGTTGGCAGCAGATGGGAAATCTGTGATATCTTGCTCTTAGGGTTTTTAAAAAATATTTTATTTATTATTTTTTATTTGTTATTTTTATTTTATGTGTATGCATGTGTTGCCTGCATGTAGGTAAGCACACCCATGTCATTCAATGCCTGCAGAGAACAGAAGAGACTGTCTGATTCCTTGGAACTGGAGTTACGGTCAGTTGTTAGGTGCCATGTGGGTGCTGGGATTTGAACCTGGGTCTTCTGCAAGAACAGTCAGTGTTCTTAACTGCTGATCCATCTCTCCAGCCTACTCTCAGGGGTTTTAAAGGGATTTTAAAGAATCTAGGGGCTGGAGAGATAGCTCAGCTGGTTAAAGGCATTTGTTACTAAGCCTAAGTTTGAGTCCTGGGACACACATGGTGGAGGGAGACAACTTTAGCAAGTTGTCCTCTGACTTTTCCATGTATGGACTACCCCCAAAATAAATAAACCTAATATATGTCTTTTAAATCTGGTAGTCTCCAACAGTCCTAGAAAGTGTGGAGTGAAGGGGTACCTGACCTCTGAGTGATCTGGACAAGGCTCCTCTCACTGGGTGGCAACTAGAAGAGGGATTTGAATGTAACATAGTGTTGTACATATCACAGCCCTCCCCAGCCCCAAGATGATGAAACAGAACTGCCATAGGACAAAAAGACCTCTTCAAGGGCTACAGGACAGTGTCAGCATTTTGGAGATCAGAAAACACTTTGGGGAACTGTTATGAGAAGGTGCCAGTGGAGGATTTTCTTTGGATGAGTGGTCTCAGTTGTTGCCAGGAATTCAAACTTAGACCACATCCTCTATTTGCACATGACCACAAAGTGTCCTAGGTCAGTCCATTCAATACCAAGCACTACCAGTACCTCAATCTCCCTCTCCCTACAGCTGTGATCAGCTTAGTCCTTCTGTGTGGGTTACAAATGGAAACCATTACTCAGATTTAACTGCAAAGAATGTGGCAAAGCCCAAGTATTTTCACATACTTACTGCCTACAAAATTATCTCAGTTACGTACACACACATACAGCCACCCACATACACACAGATACACAGACACACAGACACACAGACACACACACACACTTTCCCCACTTCCTGGCTCCCCAGAAAAGGCGTGAATTATCCAGTAACCTCCTTTACTGTGGACCTTAATTCATTCCTTCAAAGGCAGGTTCTAGGAACACAGGTGTCCCAGAGCCTGCTCCATTCCCTGCTCCTACAATGATGTCTACTGTGCCCTCCAACAGGAATTTAGATAGGACCCATGCTCCCAAGGCCTGCTATGAGAGATGCCCCTTCATAGAGAGTGGAGGATGGAATGCCAAACTGGTGCTTTATTATCTGCTGGCCATAGACTTCTAATAACTTTGAAAAGAGGGTTTCAGAAGATCCTGCCTCCTGGAGGTTTGTGGTGCCCCAGACACTGCTGTCCTTGGTTTTGGAAGGTGAAGCAACATTACATGTTACCTGACACTGGAGGGCTGGAATGAACACATGCCTTTTTACCTTTAATGGAAGTGTGTCTCATCTTTCACAGCTGGCTGCCTCTCTGTCCCCAGGAGTATGTGATGGCCTATGCCTTTTCTTACAGAGAACAGTAACCTGACTTTCAGGAGCAGTTTGAGTTTTGGTGTGTTTTTTTTTTTTCCCTCACAATCATTGGGAAGCTGTGTTCCAGTGGTTCCTTACAGGCCAAAACCTGTATGGGTTTCCTGTTGCCATTTGAGGGCTTAAGCAACATGTCTTTATTTGCTTTTATTTTTTGAGGACAGAAGTCTGACATGGGGCTCCTGGGTTAAAATCCCAGTGTCAGCAAAGTTGAGTTCCTTTCTGGAAGCTCCAGGGGAGAAATTTTCTTTCCTTTTCTTGCCTTTTCCTGCATGCCTGATTTGGGGCCCACCTATTTTCAAAGCCCGTGATGGCTGGAAAGGGTACACAGTGTGATGTGTGTACACACATGTATTTCTCTTCAGAGAATGAATATAGTTACTTTTTAATTGATACTTAAAGGGTCTATGATCCCCAAAGTGTTAGGAACTATTGAGATACAGTAAAACATTACAAATAATACAGTGATTTTTGGCCAGGCACCAAGCCACCGGTCAACACATGTTTAAGTGGACCATCTCTCCTTGTATCGGACCATCTCAGGTGCCTACAAAGCGACTTGATGGGTTTGGGGAAGGTCAGCACTAGCTCAAGTTAGACCCAACTCCCAGTGGTGTGTCCTCAACTGTATCATCTATGTAGAAGTTTCTGTGGATTTCTCTCCCATGTCTTTCAGTATGTTTACACCAAGGCTGTTGGTGATGGCTGAACCCAGATGACCCAGACTGACTCATGGGTTGAAGCCTTTTTTTGAGTAAGGGGGGGTGTATTTGTTCAGGATACACTGGAGTTTGAGTTTTATGAAATCCATTCTGACCACAACTCATTTACATGGAAGGGAACTAAAGTGTGGAGCTATCACATAATAGACTTTAAAAGTCTCTGTTCCTCATTATAATAACACAAGGAGTCCTTTGAGCTCCTCTAAGTGGGATTGACAGCTTGCTTTGTCATTTTGTAAACACTGGGTCAAACACTGAGAACCCTAAGTTGTAAAGTGGTTGAACATCAAACCAGCCTCTGGGAAGGAACGCCTCACTTGTTCGTGTTCCATCATCTGTCCATGGCTCTTGTGTCCCGCGTAGGAAATCAGGAGGTTAGAGGCAGAGGACAGAGCATGGTTCAGTGCCTGAAAGTCCAAGCTCTGGCCATTAGCTTAGGGTGGTCCAAGTCAATTGAGAGGCTGGAATGTCCTAGGCCTGCACTGTTTGTATGGCAGCCACTTGTCACCTGTGGCTGTTAAATTCTTGGAATGTGTCTAAGACCATGAAAGACCTGAATGTTGAATCTCATTTCCTTTTATAATTCCTTTGAATTAACTGTAATAGCTGCACATGTGAACATGAGCAAGTCTAGCTTTTCAGTTGACAGACTGAGTGACTTCCACGAGTCCCAGACTTTTTAAAAAAAATCTATTTGTACAATTAAGAAGTTGGACTAAGTAACTTCAAAAGGCTTTAAAAAAAATCTCTGAAATTCTAAGATTCAAAGACTTATTTTATATTTGCTAGAAAGATACATGTTTTTCCTCAAAGGAATTTCTCTTCTTTTTTGATTTATTTATTTGTATTTTATGTGTATGAGCATTTTGCCTACATGTATGTAAGTGTACCACATGTGCACAGTGCCCACAGAGACCAGAAGAAGGTGTCAGATTCCCTGGAACTGAAGTTATGGATAGTTGTTAGCTGCCATGTGGATGCTGGGAATTGAAACCGGGTCCTCTGCAAGAGCAGCCAGTGCTCTTAACTGCTGAACCTTGTCTCCAGCTCCAGAATATCTCTTCTTCAGAGACAAAGTAGCTTCTCCACGGCCACAGAGCAGCAAGTTCCAGCTCTGGGTTCAGTGCTCTTTCCACCCATCTCCTCCAGCAATTCCTATCCCTGTAGCTGTCCCTTCTCCCTGCATCTGGCCTAGGAAAGGACTGCAGTCCAGGAGGCCATATCCCCACAGTCTTTTATTCTGTTTCCAGGGCCCCCTGTGCTGAGTGGAGCTCTCTGGGTATATATGAACAGGATGTGCCAGGTCCCTACTCCCTTCTCCAGGGGCCTTCAGGGATAGTGCCAAGATGCTTCTTGTTGCCACCAATGCTAGAGCCCTCAGGTGCCATGTGTGCACTGAATTTTGTCTTTGATGGGCTCATAGGCCAGAGAGGAATCTCTATTACAGTCCCTTCAAAGGTGTGCATGTGTGTGTGTGTGAACTTGTGCACGCATGCATGCACAGATGTGTGCACTTGTACACGAGCTCCTGTGAGAGAGAGAGAGAGAGCAAGCAAGATGTCAGCCTGTTAGGTGAATACCTGATTCTCTGAACATGTGGCTTTAAGGCAAATGTCCAGCAGTACCCTTCTACATTAGACACAGTCTCATGTAGCCAAGGCTGGCTTCAAATTATAGCAGAAGATCACCTTGAACTTTTTGTTTTGTTTTGTCTTTTTGAGACAGGGTCTCCCTGTAGCCCCAGCTGTCCTGGAACTCACTATGTAGACCAGGCTGGCCTCAAACTCACAAAGATCCACCTGCCTCTGCCTCCCAAGTGCTGGGATTAAAGGCGTGCACCACCACACCCAGCGATCACCTTGAACTTTTAATTCTCTGCCTCTACCTTTAGTGTTGGGATTATAGACAGGTACCACTGTGCCTGATTTCATGTGGTTCTGGGAATGAAGCCCAGGGTTTTGTGTATACTAGGCACGTATTCTACTAACTGAATTACATCCACAGCCTATCTGTCTCTTTCCTTCCCTTCCTTCCTTCCTTCCTTCCTTCCTTCCTTCCTTCCTAAAATAGTTCCGGCTACCCTAGAAACCACAATCCTATCTCAGCCTCCCAAGTGCTGGGATTATAGGTGTGGGCTACCACACCTGGCTGCCAGCAACATTTGGCAGAGAAGGCACTATTACTTAAAACCTTCTAGAAGCTGCATGCTTGTGATTGAGGAGCAACATGGATTCTCAGGAGGCCTCATGGCCACATGTCCTTGTGGGGGCTGAGGAACTCCTAAATGTCTAGCCTGTTTCCTGTTCTGTAGGCAAATCCAAGGAAGGTGGGAGTTGCAGTGTGATGCTTGGCAGAAAGCCTTCTTCTCAAGGCCTGAAGTAGCGCTCCATTTGAATGTATCTTACATCCTCACTGCGGGGCTACTAGACCTTTGGTTTGGGTGGTCTTTTACATTTTAAACTCAGAAATCTGGCAAAGTCGGCTTCTTCTGGACAAAGGAATTGTTGAGAGAAGAGCTCCAGCTGAAATCGTATGTCTGATTTCATCCGGCCTCTTCATGGGCTTTGTGGAGGAAGGGAAGAGATAGAAGCTTTACTTCTTTGCGTGCTTGCTTGTTTTCTTTTGTTTTCAGACAGGGTCTTGCTATGCAGCCATGGTGGCCCTGAACTCATGATCCTCCTGCCTCAACTTTCCGAGTGCTGGGGTTATAGGTGTATATCACTTTGCTTGAGCCAGTTGGAATTTTACTTCTGAGCTGGAGGTCTGACTCACTTCTAAATTTGCAATCCTGCTCTGACCAACATCAGCTTTGGCCTCCTACCCAAGTGTGCACACATTTCTGCCTTATAAGATGAGGGGGACAGTGAAACTTTTGTTTACTCCCTTTCTTTCTGCTGACCCGAGCTGGGTGAGAACTCCCAATGAGTAGATTCAGAGTACTGGCACTTGAACCCCCAAAGAGAATAGTGTAGGAAGAGCAGAGCTCCTCCATCTCAGAGTCCTAAGACACCCTTGTTTATCTCTTCCTTTTTTCCAACCCCATTACCATAACCTTGTTCCCCATGGCATCCTGTGAGCCCCTGACTTCTACAGGAACTTCTTGGGCACTTGTCAAAGATACAGTGTATACAATTGCATTGTCTAATTTCTGTAAATGACAGTTTCCTAACTGGCTCCCTGAGGCACAGTTGTCATGTAGGCAAAATTTGTTTCAGATACCAACCACTTCCTCTTTCTACTCTCCCAATATTCAAAACTTCTGGGCTCTTGTTTCCTTTTCCCATGATCTCATGGTAGCTGGTTCCCAGTGTCTGTTAATCTCTCCATGAAAGGTCCTGTTCCAAGTGGAAGGATTTTAACTGCACATGACTTACTGCCCTGAAGAGCTGCCCCGAGGTCCTAGGGAAAGGAAAGGAGGCATTTGTAGTGTCAGGATCAGTTACCATCAGTTCAGAGAGCTGGGTACATCTCTTTGCTTCAGTTTCCTTAAGAGTAAAATGGGGGTCATTTACTAAGGGAAGTAATGTAATGAAGGAATGAGCCAAGTAGCCTGGCAAACAGAACTCTCTGTCTATATTAAAATGAGCTTCAAAAAAAGAAAAAGAATCTCCAAATTTCTCCAAGCCCACCCCCAAAAAGAGCCTCCAAAACCAGAAGGGACATCTCTTCTTTTGTTCTTGTTTTTTTTTTTTTAAGACTTATCTATTTTATGTGTATGAGTGTTTGCAGGAATGTATATATGGGTACCATGTGTGTACAGTCCCCTTGAAGGCCGGAAGAAGGTGTCAGATCCCCTGGAGCTGGAGTTACATATGGTAACTGGCATGTAGGTTCTGGGAACTGAATCTGGATCCTCTGCAAGAGAAGCAAGTGCTTTTAAATGCTGAGACATCTCTCTAGCCCTCTATTGTTTTAAGAGAGGGTCTCAAGTAGCCCCTGCTAGCCTCAAACTTACTGTGTAGCCAAGGATGACTTTAACTTTCTGCTTCTCCTGCCTCCCCCTCCTGAGTGCTGAGATTATAGGCATGAACCGCCAAGCCTGGCTTATTTGGTGCTAGGAGCAAATCCAGGGCCTCATACATACGGGTCCCTGTATTTTGGTTTCTTGAGAAAATGTCTTACTTTGTAATCCAGGCTGATCTAACAAACTTGCCAACCTGTTTCTCAGCCTCCTTAGTGCCACCAAGTCCTGGGAGGTCTCTTCTCAGCGCCCAGCATAGAACCTTGTTGTAGTAGATGTTCATAAGTCGGTGCCAAGACAACAATGAATGCATAGAGAATGCATTTTCTTGGGGAGGGGACACAGTACAAGTATCTGGGACTCTACCAGAGCTTAGTTGTTTTCCCTTCCTTCAGCCACGCACACACCAAAAGGTCAGGGAGAGAAAGCTGCCTTGATTTTTGCTTTTAAATTTTCAACTACGCCAGGCATAGTGGCATACACCTTTAGTCCCTGCACCCAGGAGGCAGAGGCAAGGAGAATCTCTGTGAGGTAGAGGCCCGCAGGATTGACATAGCAAGTTCCAGGCCAACTGGAGTTATAGGGAGAGCATGTCTCAAACAAAACAAAACACAGGCAACAAAACAACATATCAGTTACTTTTAGAACCAACAATATTACCACTACCACCATCACTTTGAACTGTTTCAAGTATCATAGTCCTTCTTACATGTATTCAAACTCACACTGAACAGTGAGTTCTGGAGTTTCAAAAGAGGATTTACTTTTGCACCTGTCCTTAAGTCTTTGTCTACCATGTCAACAAAGACACACGGTGCTACATGGCTTTTGGGTGTTTAAAACAGATCCATGAAGAGTCCCAGGAGACAGAGAAATTAAGAAATAATTTTCAGGGACTGGAGAAGTGGCTCAGTGGTTAAGAATACTGGCTACTCTTGCAGAGGACCTGGGTTTGGTTCCCAGCACCCACCTCATGGCTAATAACCATTTGTAACTCTAGTTCCAGGGGATTCAAGACCCTCTTCTGGCCTCCATGGGTATTGCATGCACATGGTGCACTTACATGCAGGCAAAACACTCATACACATAAAAATAAAGAAAAATTTAAAAAGAACGGGCAGAGGGGCTATAGAGATGGCTTAATGGTTAAGAGCACTGATTGCTCTTGCAGAGGACCCAGGTTCGATTCCCAGCACCCACATGGCTGCTACAAACCGTCCTTAACTTCAGTTCCAGGGGAATCCGAAGCTCTCCTCTAACCTCTGGGGCATTGCACGGCACAGGTGCACTCACATACAAGCAGGCAATACACTCATACACATAAAAAGTAAAAATAATAAATAAAATATTTAAAAAAGACTACAGCTTCTTACAATAATTAAAAAGAAAGAAAAGAATGGGCAGGGCCTGGACTGCTACGATAGGAGATGTGCAGCTTTGGGGGTGAGGTGGGGAGGGAACATCTATTCTCCACAGTGCTTTTACATTTCTATGCTAGATAGATCTCTTCCCCAGTTTTTTAGGACATGGTGGGCCAGCTGATATTTGCCAGAGTCTACATGGTGGGTCCCTTCAGGTATAGCCTATATGTCTATAAAGGAGGCTGTGTGCTTCCCCTGCCTGCCTGGCTCTTTTCCCAGTAATCACTGGAGATATTGAGACCTAGTGTTGACTGGGACAGGGGGTCTTGGCTCTCACTGGGCTCTACTGGACTAGCATCCCTAGTGAAAGTAGGAAGGTAATAAGAGTTTTAGGATAAAAACTCTGCCTTTAGTAGCTCCAACAACTAAGCCTTGCTACCTGTTCCAAGATACAAATTAAAGAGACAAGGAACAGAGAAAATAAAGGAGATTTAATCAGTGCATACTAGGAAGAGGAACAAATAAAGGGGTCTAGGAACCCCAAGTTGTGATATGAACTTTAGGCTTAAAATATCCAAGGAAGTGGGGCAAGGGGCAGGGGGTATTCATAATTAGGCGGCCCTGGTCAAGGTGTGGTCCCATTTCATCTTTAGTCCTGTAAGGTGATGGGAAGTGATTATATCTGTTAGTCACTGTCACAATCAAAGGGGCCAGTCTAGTGTTTACAAGCCAGTTTTCTCCAGGGTGTAGCCTCTCCACCATAAATAATGGCATCATTTTGGGGGTATGTTTTGCTGTCTGGGAGCTTTGCTAATCATTGTGGGACCAAGTGATCAGCCAGTGCTTTTTAGCAAAAGCTTTTCTTAGGTCTATTACAGAATTGCCATTCGTACCATTTTGCTTTTTTGATACCATGCTGGCTTGAAATCTCCTCCTCCAGCAGGGGTGTGTTGGTCCATCCCTAGGCCTCTGACAACCCACCAGGTCTAGGAGCTGCAAGAAGTTGCTTTGGGCTCCCCAGTGGGCCACTTCCAAACCAGGCAGCCTGAAGTGCTAGGATTTTCCAAGGGCGTGCAGCCTGCCAAGCTGTGCTGGATCACAGGACTTCAGCCTTCCATTGGGCTGAGGTTTCTGTATTTCTGCTTCTTCTAGGACTCAGAGGAAGGAGCAGGGTGGGGGACCCTGGCCAAGGACACAGCAAGTGACCTCACCTTCCATCTCCTTTTCTTTTTCAACTTCTGTGTACAGGTTCAAGGAATTAATGTTCTACTTCCTCCTCCTTTCCCATGGCATTCTGTGGCCTAAGGGAGAAATGCCATCCTGGGCAGCCAGTCCTGGATCTTCCTGGTTTCCAGACTTCTGATACTACTGATCAGTGCGTCCCAAGATATCTTTTCTCACTTTGTGGTCCCCCCACCCCAAGAAAATAGGAACAGTCACACACTAGATAGAGCAGTAAGGGGAATTAGTGCATCCTCATCTGGATGGGGCTGGCTGCTTCTGGCCAGACACCCAGGATCTCTGGCTCTTAAGAACCTATCCCAGTCTCTGTCCTAGCCTTGGTCTCTTTGCTTATTTGGAGAGCTGTAGTCACGTTGCTGTCTCTTTAGCCCCCATAACAGACATCAAGTTCTTTCTCTTGCCTGGGAAGTTCCTCCTCCAGCTGATGACAAGACTCATGTCATCTGTCTTGTATCTACTCAACACATTTTTATTGAGTCCTTACAGTGGTCAGGGACCACACTATGGCTTAGGGACTCAGTGGTGAGCAATGTGAGTTAGAGTCACAAAGAGTCCATTGGGGGCAAGGTCTTGCTATGTAAGCAACCAAGTTGACCTTGAACTTGAGGCAGCTCTCCTGCCTCAGCCTCCTGAGTGCTGAGATTACCACTGTGTACCACCATGTCTAGCTGGGGTAAATGTTCTTAAATGCCTTGAAATAGTGGTGCAGTATAGTTATAAGCTAGAAGCAGCTTGTAAGAGGGTGTGCGAGAGTGTCTAGGAGGTCAGGGGATGTTTTTCTGGGGAAGCAAGAATGCGGCAGAGAGCTGGAGGGGGAGGAGGAGTGAACAGGGTTTGAGGACAGGAATAGCTGGTGCAAAGACCCTGTGGTGGGGAGTCCAGGAAGGTGCATGGCTGGATAAAGGACTGAAGGAAGAACAGAGGTTGAGGAAAAACCGTGAGCAGAGAATGGTCCAATCTTGAGAGCAGGCTCCATCATATCCTTGACTAAGCCTATTGATTTTGCCTTTACAGTATCTCGGATCTAGCCACTTGTCTCTGTTTCTAGCAAAACATCAATGAGCTGCCCTGACCAACTCCAAGGGAAGCCTCACTAGTTCCCCCAGAAGGTCATTTGGCTGCCTCTTTCCCTGGCTTCCAGACAGTGCATTCTATTGTTTTTCTTCCTACCTTCTAGACAGATTCTTTCTGTCTCATTTGTAAAATTCCCTTCCCTGTCTGCAACCAGCTACTAGCAGAGTTATTCCAGGCCCAACCCCAAGCCTCTAGCTTCCTCTCTGGCAACTGGATAATTCCAAGCTGTGGTTTCAACTCTTAAACAAGGATGACCCACAACTTTTACCACTCAGACCTCTCCTCTGACCCCTTGCAGTTTACTTAACATGTCTACTTTGTGGCCACAAAGCTTCCTCCAACTCACTCTATATCCAGAGCCAAACTTGTGAATGAATTTTCCCTTTAAACTAAGAGCTCTTTCTGAATTCCCCTGTCAGTTCAGGGCTCACCATCCTCTTATACAAAGGATCTGGAAGGACCTCGATGCCTTCTTCTCTTACTTCCACATCCAACCAGAAACCAAGTTCTGCTACTTACTGTCTAAATACCTCTCAACTTCTTTTCTTTTCTGTCCAGCAGCAGCAGCAGCAGCAGCTCGGGTCTGGTCACTGCCAATTTTTGTTTGGATGACTACAGTGACTTCTTACCTGGTGCTCACATCTGCCTCCTCTAGCTTACTGCCCTCTGTGGGTCAGCTAGGCTTTGTGAATCATAGAGAGATCTCCATCACACTCTTTTTGTTTAGAAAGTATTTTACTTCTATGTGTATGAATGTTATGCTTGCATGTGTGTAAGTACACCTGTGTCATGCAATACCCTCTGTGCTGGATAACTTTGGTTGTCAACCAAAGTTAGGGAGCCTCAACTGGGGAGCTCAATTGGGGAGGGAGCCTCAATTGGGGAATTGCCTCCATTGGACTGGACTGTGACCATGTATGTGGGGCATTTTCTTGATTGTTGAGTGATATGAGAGGGCCCAGCCCACTGTGGGTGGTGCCACCCCTGGGCAGGTCATTCTGTATTATATAAGAAAGCAGGCTGAGCAAGCCAGTAAGCAGCATTCCCCCGTGGTCTGTGGTTCAGTGCCTGTCTCCAGGTTCCTGCCCCAAGTTGCTACCTTGGGCTCTCTCAGTGATGAACTATATGACCTGGGAGATGTAAGCTGAATAAACCCTTTCTTCCCCAAGTTGTTATTGGTCAGGGTGTTTTGTCACAGCAATGGAGAAACAAACTAGAACATCCACAGAGGACAGAAGAGGGTCTCGGAGCCCCTGGAACTGGAGTTGTGGATGGTTGTTAGCCACCATGTGGGTGCTGGGATTCAAACCAGAGTCTTCAGAAAGAGTAGCTAGTGCTCTTAACCGGAGTCATCTCTCCAGCCCCATCTATCATCTTTTTCTTTTCTTTTTTTTTTCTTTTTTTTTTTTTTGAGACAGGGTCTCCCTGTAACCCCAGCTGGCCTGGAACTCACTATGTAGACCAGGTTGGCCTTGAACTCCTGAGTGCTGGGATTAAAGGTGTATACCACCAAGCCTGGCTCTATCATATTCTTTTTAAAAAATATTTTATTATTTTATGTGTATGAGTGTATTGCCTGCATGTATGTGAGTGCACCCATGTCGTGCAATGTCATGGAGGTCAGAAGAGAGCTTTGGATTCCCCTGGAACTGGAGTTAAGGATGGTTTGTAGCTGCCATGTGGGTGCTGGGAATTGAACCCAGGTCCTCTGCAAGAGCAGTCAGTGCTCTTAACCGCTGAGCCATCTCTCCAGCCCGTCTATCATATTCTTAAGTCTACTTCAATCTTAAAATTCTTCCACACCTTCTAGGAGAAAAACAATCCTCTCCTTCTCACCCCTCCTCTGCCCTCCTCCCCTCCCTTCTCTTCTCCCCCCCTCCTCCTCCTCCTATTTCTCCTTCTCCTCCTCTCTGTCTCTCTTTCTCTCTCCTTCATTCACTCTCTATTTTGCAACAAGGTCTCACATAGCCCAAGTTGTCCTTAATATATAGCCACAGATGACTTTGGATTCTGACCCTCCTGTGTCTACCTCTAGAGTGCTGGGATTACAGGCATGCACTACCACACCCTGCTTAAGGAAGATGATCTAAGATGATTGTTTTTAAAGACAATGTCTTACTATGTAGCACTAGATGGCCTGAAACTCGCTGTGTAGACCAGGCTAGCATCAAACTGCCTGCCTCTGCCTCCTGAGTATTAGGACTAAAGGTGTGCACCACCATGCCTGGCTACAAAGATGATCTTTAACGACACCTGCAAGATCCTGCATGTTCTCACACAGCCCTCTCCTGTCTTCTGTATCACTCATGTCTTTGGTGGGGTTTCTTGGGCAATGGCCTCTTTGCTTGGACTTGGAAAACTCAGTAGCACAGGTAACAGCCATCACTGAAAGCAATTCTGCTGATGGCTGCTCTTTTCTATTTCATGTTGATTTTTTTTCTTTTTCCTCCCCATATAATTCTTACAAGCATCCATTACAGAGCAGATTGGTCAGCTAACCCTTGGAATATTTCCCTGTTGGTGCCAGAATGCCTGTGTGTCCCTATCAAAAGCTGCCTGGTTCTAGTTAACAGCTGTGGTCTAAGGGAAGAATGGACTGCATTTAAGACACACATTTACCTGGTTGGTTCTCTTGGTTATGAGGTCATGGCCCAGGGTCCTCCCAGGGAAAATCTCTCTGTCTCCTCAGATTCTTTGTTTTCCCATTGTAGCCATGGAAATAAAGAAGCCTTCTCTTGCCGGGGAATCCGTCTGGCTGTGGACTGGTTCAGGGACAGAGGACACACCTACATCAAGGTTTTTGTCCCATCTTGGAGGAAAGAGTCACCACGATCTGATACCCCTATCAGAGGTATGTCATGCCCTGTTCTGTGGTACTTTTTCCCACAGTAACGGTCAGTAACCTGTTTGGTTACTAGTTTAGTGGTCTATCTATCTCCCTGTACTTAAAGCTCTGTGAAAGCCTTGCCTATGAAGAGTCAGCACCCTAAGCCCCAGCATGTAAATAAATACACAATGAAACCTTATTGACAAGACAAATATTCTTTATAAATCTTATTTGTCCATGTATTATAGATAAATATATTACTCTATCATTTAGTGAATGATTTATATTGAAAAATCATTGTGTTAATAATTAACTCTGAAGGAAGATTGGGTTTATATCTCATCCCTAATAGTAAATAGGCTCTAAGACAGCCATTCTGTCAGGTAATATTTATTTGCTTAATACCTACTCCAACCTCTTCATTTAAAGAAATGGAAACTGAGAACCAGGAAATTCTTTTTAGTTTTTTTCTATCAGTACTGGGATCAAACCTAGGGTTTTATACATGATAAACTTTTTACTACTGAGTTACAGTCTCAGCCCTATTTTAATTCTTTAAAATATTTTTAAAATTTTTGATTGATTTATTTTTATTACATGTGTGAGTGTTTAGCCTGCATGTAGGCAAGTGCATCATGTGCATTAATGCCTGTGGAAGTCAGAAGGGGGTTTTAGATATCCTGGAATTGAAGTTGCTGACCATTGTTAGCCATCGTGTGAGTGCTGGGAATCAAACCCAGGTCCTTTGCAAGAGCAGCTAGTACTCTTAACCACTGAGCCAACTCTCCAGCCCCCTTTAAAATATTTTAAATTACATTTATTTACTTATTAGATGGGGAGAACATGTCTCACAGCTTAAGTGTGGAGGTGAAAGGACAAGTTGGATCTCTTCTTCCACCATGTGGGTCCTGGGGATACAACTTAGGTTGTCAGGCTTAGTAGAAAGTGCCTTTACCCACTGACCTGGTCTACTTTTTATTTTATTTATGTGTGTGTGTGTGTGTGTGTGTGTGTGTGTGTGGTGTGTGTGTGTGTGTGTGTGTGTGTGTGCATGCGTGTGTGTGTAAGAGCATGTGGGTGTCTGAGGAGGTCAGAAAAGGACACTTGGAACACGAATTTTAGATGGTTATGAACCATCTGATGTGGGTGCTGGGAATCAAATTTCAGTCCTCTGAAAGAGCAGCAAACTCTCTTAACTACTGAACTATCTTTCCAGCCCCTTAATTATTAATTAAATCAGTTATGGATTATGGTGAGCGCGCTGGGCTCTTGGGGTCCCTGCGCATGCTCCTGGAATGGCACGGCGGGTCCACGGGCTTCTCCGCCGTGCGCCTGGAGGATGGCAGGTCCGGCCCCGCGGACTTCTCCGTGTCTCTGTGGGTCTCTGCTGCTGGAGCGTTGTCCAGCCATGTTTCTGCCCTTATTTCACCAGTGTACTTTCCTCAATATGCGAGTTCCACCAGCCGCTGGACCACGCAGGAAAGTACGGGGCGGCTGAAGCTGGGATCCGTGAGTCGGTGACGGAGGAATGCTGCCCCCGGGGGAGACTAGATTGCAGGCAGGAGACACAGACTCAGCTCAGTCAGATTCAGTGGTACAGCTCTTTATTCAGTGTCCCAGCTCTAGTTCCTAGCTCCAGCTCCTTCTTCCAGCTCCAAATTATTGAGAGAAGACTAGGATATTTTATACTGTAGGGGCAGTGGTAAAAGCTTTAGCTGATAGGCACTTTGTGAGATACCCTATTTACATATGGAAATGGGCTCCTGCCAGGCTGTCAGACTGCCTGAAAATCATACAGGAAAAGCTGGCCGGCTACTTCAAAGGAGAGTTAGGAAGATGACAGGTACTCTGCTGAAAGGAGTCATCTGCATATGAAACCAAGCCCGTGGGCCACCCGGACATGGAGAGACTACGACTTCACAGCAGGGGTCCCCAACAATGGATATTTGAAGCTACAAATAATAGAACACTGTGGTTTAAATAAACAGGGGTTTGTTTGTTTTCTTTTTCCTTTTTTTTGATGTAGAGAGGACTGATCACACACACACACACACACACACACACACACACACACACACACATGCTGGGCCAGTGTTCCACCACAAAGCTACATCCCCATCCTTATTTGCTTTTCATTTGTCTCTCTCATAATAAGAAGTCAGATGCTAAGTCTTTGCTGGTATCAATACAGCTAAGTCAAAAGGAGGCTCTGCCTCCAGGTCATTCTATGAAGTTTCATTTTCCTGGACTTCTTCTTGCCTTTTAACCAAAGGTCTGCCTGTCTCTGTCTCTGTCCTTGTCTCTGTCTATGTCTCTGTCTCAGTCTCTCTCTCTGAGAGATAGTGTCTCATGTATCCCAGACTAGCCCCAAACTCAATAAGTAACTGAGGATGACCTTGAACCTCCAACCTTCCTATATCCACCTTCAGAGTGCTTAGATCACATGTCTGTTTTCTGTGTGCTGGAGGTTGAACCCAGGGTTTTGTGCATGCTAGACACTCTGCCAACTGATATATCTCCAGCCCTTCAGTTTTAAGTTCCATTAGTGGGTACCAGTTGTACCTTCTTCCTTCTCTGTCTCCTCTGTTTATCTTTTAAGTAAAATGCTAATCTTAGGGATGCAGTGTCTTTCTAGATATTTCTATACTAACGTAGACTTTTTTTAAAAGTTCTTTTAACTTCCACAAGTCCTATCTAATTTCTTGGAGGTTAATTTTTGCTTTTTTTAGTCACTCTTGCTCTTACATTTTCCTCTCTAACATCCATTGACCTCCATACTCCAGGGCCAGTATGAGCTCTGCTTTCTGTCTTCACAAAATCTGTCAACATTTCCAAGCCACTTCCAATGTGAATGTGGGTCCTATTTTGTACTTTTCTGTCATTTCTATAGAATTTTATAAAGTCCAGTTGTGTTCAGTTTTCTATCATGAGTTGATGACTCCCAAAGAATTCTTTATGGTCTAAACATAGAGACTGGTGGCTTCAACCATTCAGTTGTGTAACATTTAAATGTGACATGGTAAAGAGTAGGAAAATACAGGGCCAGTGAGATGGCTCAGTGAGAAAAGGTGCTTGCCACCAAGCCTGACTACCTGAGTTTGATTTCCGGGACCTACATAGTGGAAGGAGAGAACCAACCTTCAAGAGTTGGCCTCTGACCTCTATACATGCATTGTGGTGCACTCACACAAGCATACAATATACAATAAATAAATAAATGTAATAAAAAATCTTTAAATTGAATTAGGGAAATTATTTGGGGGTAGGGAGTTTGTTTGCTTGTTTGCTTACTTATGACAGGGTCTCATTATGTAACTGGCCTGGAGCTCACTGTATAGCCAAGGCTAGTCTTGAACTTGTGGTGACTCTCCTGCCTCAGCCTCCAAGTGCTGGGATTACAGGGGTGTGTCACCACACTTGGCGAGGGAGTGTAAAATAAGCCACAAAAGGACAGTCTTATGGAAGAAATGAATAAATTTGACCACACTAAAATAATGGCTTCTGCAGGCTAGAGAGATGGCTCAGTGGTTAAGAGCACCAGCTGTTCTTGTAGAAGACCAGGGTTTGAATCTCAGCACCCACATGGCAGCTAACAGCTGTCTGTAACTCCAGTTCCAGGGTATCTGATGCCCTCTTCTGACCTCCATGGACACTGCATAACATGGGTGCACTTACATACATAAAGGCAATACACTCATATACATAAAATTAAAATAAAAAATAAAATATTAAAAAATAGACAAGTAAGCTGGGTGTGGTGGTGCACGCCTTTAATCCCAGCACTTGGGAGGCAGAGGCAGGTGGATCTTTGTGAGTTCGAGACCAGCCTGGTCTACATAGTAAGTTTCAGGACAGCTGGGGCTACAAGGAGACCCTGTCTCAAAAAGACAAAATAAAATAAAATAAATAAAAATAGACAAGTAAAAGAAAGGAGAAAGAAACAGAGAGTCTTAGTCTGTGGCAGGCCATATCTTCTTGAACTTCTGATCCTGCTTCCACTTCCCAGATGCTGGGGCTACAGGCATGTGACACCATGCCTGGTTTATGCAGTGATGGGATTAAACCCAGGGCTTTGTGCATGGCAGGTAGGCACTGTGCCAACTCAGTCACATCCCCAGCCATACATCTTATGTTTTACTGATGAAAAAGTGCATCTCCAAATTTATGAGATAAGGACCCACGGAAAGATTAGCTAGTTCGTAAATAAGCCTTTTATAGATGAAAAATGAAAATGGGTGCTAGACATATGCAAAGATCTCATTAGTAACCAGAGAGCTATGCAAAATAAAACACCATAAAGGGTCATTTTATACCTAGCAGCTAGGCAACAAACTTTTAGAGCTCTTCCCTAGGGAGTTCCTTGGACTTCCGTGCCTGAGACTCACTTGCTGCCGGTGGTAGTAGATACCTGGGCACTCCCAGACCTCGCCAACACATGGTAAGGGGAGAAAAAGTGCAAGTAGAGGACCATTCTACTTGGGGAAAGTCCAATGTGTAACCACCTTGAAAACGATGCTCACACATGTGTTTGAGGAAATGAAAGCAAGAGGACCATAAACACTGAGCTTTATAGCAGGGTGTCTTCAGGGGAAGAAAGGATTTTGAACTGGGAGTAACAGCAGGGACTTTCCAAACATGGCTTTCCTCATCTCAAAGTTCAAGACCTTAGATACACTATGCACTTTTATTGTTTTTTTGTTTTTAAACTTTATTTACTTTTATTTTATGAGTATGAGTGTATTACCTGCATGTAAGTGTACTTTTGTCATGCAGTGCCTGTGGAGGTCAGAAGAGGGTGTTTGATCCCCTGGAACTAGTTATAGGTGGTTGTTAGCTGCCATGTGGGTGCTGGATTTGAACCTGGATCTTCTGCAAGAGCAGCCAGTGCTCTTAACCACTGAGCCATCTCTCCAGCCCTTGTGTTTTTTTTTAAATTTTTTAAAAATTTATTATTTTTATTTTATGTGTTGGCATGTACTGCCTGCATGAAGGTAAGTGCACCTGTGTCATGCAATGCCCACAGAGGTCAGAAGAAGGCGTCTGATCCCTTGGAACTGGAGTTACAGACAGTTTTTAGCTGCCATGTGGGTGCTGGGATTTGAACCTGGGTCTTCTGCAAGAACAACCAGTGTTCTTAACCGCTGAGCCATCTCTCCAGCCCCCCTTGTTTTGTTTTTTGAGGCAAGGTCTCATAGAGCCCAGGTTGGCCTTGAATTCATTATGGCACCAAGACTGGCCTTGTGCTCCTGTTCCTCCTGCTTCCACCTCCCCAGTACAGGAATTATAGGTATTAAAGAGAACTGAAGTATGTTTTGTTTTTTGAGGCAGGGTCTCATGTTGCTTCTACCTTCTAAGTGCTGGGATTCTGGGCGTGAAAGAGGATTGAAGTAAATCAGCCTTGGTGGCACAGTCTAGTAATCCCAACACTGAGGATGAAGAAGTAAGATTATGAATTTGAGGTCAGCCTGGACTATATAACAAGAAGCTGTCTCAAAACAATAAAACAAACAAATAAACAAAACAAAGGCATACCCAAGTACTGGAGCTCAGCTCAGAATCCAGGCTGGGCATGCTTTTTAAAAATTAACTAATTAATTGTGTATGTGTATGTAGGCCAGAGGTCAACCTTGTATTCGCCACCTTTTTGTTGTTTGTTTTGAGACAGGGTTTTCTTGTAGTCCCAGGTGGCCTGGAACTCACTACGTAGACCAGATTGGCCTTGATCTCACAGAGATTCATCTGCCTCTGCTGCCTGAGTGCTGGAATTAAAGACATGTACCACCATGCCCAGCTCCTGTGACACTCTTGAGCAGCTCAGTCTCAAAGGTGGATGGTCCAGAGCTTCCAACCAAGAGCCTTCTAAGTAGATGTCAAGCTACCAGTCATTGTTAGGCATCACTAGGGTTTTAATGAAAACAGGGCAATCTCTCACCAGAAGCAGGCCTGGTTCTACTACAGTAGGGCAATGTGGCCGGTAACACTTAAAAAACCAAGAGCTGGGCTGAAATCCCCTCTCCTCTTTTTATGAAGCAGGGTTCTACTGACCTCCTATTCACTATGAGCCCAGGCTGACTTCAAATGCTTAGCAATCTGCCTGCCTCAACCTCTCTGGGATTACAGATGTGAGCCACTGTACCTTGCTCCAGAAATCTCCCTTCTAAAGCAGTCTGCTTTGTTGGGTACCATCCTTTAGACTGATGACAAGGACAGGAGAGAAGCCAAAAGTCCCTTGTCACTTCCTCCACCCCCCCCCCACCTCCCTCTTGCAGGCAAATTCCATGAAATTTAGGGAAAGAGGTGAACATGAGGGAATGGGGGGGCGGCGGGGTTTCTTCCTGTCCCTGGGAACCTGCTGGGGTCTGACCTCTGCAGCAGGTGGTCGGGGTGGCTCCTGGAGGTGGGTCTTTCCCTGAGCCCAGACTCTTGTTTGTCCCTGTGGCCACAGAGCAGCACGTGCTGGAGGAGCTGGAGCGGCAGGAGGTGCTGATATATACCCCATCCCGCAAGGTTAATGGCAAGCGAGTGGTCTGCTACGATGACCGCTACATCGTCAAGGTTGCCTATGAGAAGGATGGTATCATTGTCTCCAACGACAACTACCGAGACCTGCAGAATGAGAACCCGGAGTGGAAGTGGTTCATCGAGCAGCGGCTGCTCATGTTCTCCTTTGTCAATGACAGGTAAGAGGTGTGGCTGGGGAACCCCAGAACCTGGGCTCGGGGTCTCAGGCCTGTGGTAACCAGGCCTCTCTAGGCTACACGGTCATCTCTGTACCTCTCAGTCTCTTTGTCACCATTTTCCTAGTAGGCTGCCCTTTCTCCCACAGGGTCATGTGGTTCATGTGGCCAGTCGAAGTGATTCACTGCAAATTTGCCCAACAGGTGGACCAAGAGTGTGTTCAGTACACCACACACTTTTTCCCCCAAAATAAGAAGCATTAAGATCATTGTCATGGGAAAATTTTTTCTCAACTCTGTTGTACTTACTTTTCATTTCAAGTTTTTGTTTTTTTAAAAATATTGAGGGGCTGGAGAGATGGTTCAGTGGTTAAGAACACTGTTCTTGCAGAAGACCTGCATTTGAATCCCAGCACCCACATGGCAGCTAACAATTGTTCATAACTCCTGTCCCAGGGGATCCAACAGCCTCTTCTGTCCTCCTCAGGCATTGCATGATATGGGTGCACTTACCTACATGCAAGCAATATACGCATACACATAAAATAAAAATAACTAAAATATAAAAAAACCCCAAACAAACAAACAAAAATATTGATTGTAGCAGTCTAATGTATCCCAGACTGGCCTCCAACTCATATGCAGTGGAGGACGACCTTGAATTTCTGATCTTCCGTCCTCTACCTTATAAGTGCTGAGATTACAGGTGTAGGTCACTATGCCTGGTTTATATAGTGCTGAGGAGGCAACCCAGGGGCTTTGTGTATGCTAGGCAAGTTCTCCACCACCTAAACTACATCTCCAGATTTTGTTTTTTTTTAAGTTTGGATTACTTATAGGAACGGGTGACACAATATTTTCTTTGGCATATAACAATCTTAATTTGCTCGGAACTGACTATCCCCATGCCTCTTGGTTGAAACAGCCATACCTGGCTCCTAGATTGGTCCCAAGGATCAGGTCAGTTCTGGACCAAACCATCTATAGCTGAGAATGGAGAAGATCATCAGATTCTCAAGGCACAAGACAGTCAGCAGGCACCGACAAGCTGCCTAAATGAAGACGGAAGAAATGACACCCTGTCTACCACAGATGAGCTTGGCAGGGGTAGATACATGGGACTGGATACTACATTAGTACCTAGTATCTGATTTCTGCTCTAGGCAATGATTGACCAATGCTGGGCTTTTGACATGTGGTTTGAGACAAGGTCCCTAGCTCTATAAGGACAGGGACTTTGCTGGTTCAGCTATCATGTTCCCAGCATGCTGGCACATGGTAGGCACATAATAACTAATGGTCCAGGAATGAATGCATGCATGAATAAATGAATAAGTAGCTGTGGCCCAGGCAAATGGAAGATGAGAGGTGAGAAAGAAGCATTTCCAGCAGGGCTCAGGCCACTTGCCTGTGAGAGAACAGCACCTGACCCCAAAGCTATGAGATCATTACAAGGACTAGAGAGAACTGTATCCTAGAAGGGACAGCAGTTATTTACAGGGTAGGTCTGGACATAGTTCACCCTGCCACCTGCTCCTGAACCCAGGAAAAGATACCGCTCCGAGCCCAGGACAGATGCCTCGCAGCAACTACCCTATAGTAACCCCTCTGCCATTTCCAGATGTACAGGCCAGCAGCTCTCACTATCCAGCTTTGGCCTAAGAGAATCTGGCAAGTCTAACTATGGGCTCCAGAAATGCTCACTGAAGGCTGATGGGTCATGGCTGCCTCTGGCCTGGTGACAGCCAGGGGCTCAGGCCAAGTCTTTCTGACGCCTAGCCCTCTGCTAAGGGACAGTCAGGAGGAGGGCCCGCCTGCCTGTGAATAAGGGCATCCGCCCCAGTGCTCCGGGCATGTCCACAGGGCCCTGTTGGCACAGTGCCTACTCCTGAGAGAGCAGGAGGTAATGCCTTTGGGAACTTTTAATAACTGCAGTGGGCTGTTCCCCAGATTCTTGGTCAGGTCCCAACTACGAGAAGCTGGCTGTGTAGCTGGAGCTAAGCCCTGGAGTCAGTACTGGATCAGAGATCACTCAGCTCTGCAGGGAGGGACTTACATGACTCTTGGGGGACAGAACCCAAAAGGACAGCTCTTCCCTCATTTAGAATCCACCTCATCTAGAATGATCTGGGAGGGGCTCCTGGGAACAAAAGGATTTATTGAAAAAGGATTTTAGTAAATGCAAGTTTTTCCTCTAAGGCCCTTGTTTATCTTTTGTGCTGCTGAGTTGAATCCAGAACTTCGTGCATACTTGGCAAGCACTCTATCACTAAGGTATATTGGCAGCCTTTTTTATAAAATTTATTTTGTGTAGTGTCTCCCTAAATTACTCACACTGGCCTTGAACTTCCAAACCTCCTGATTCAGCCTCCCTAGTACCTGGGATTACAGGTGTCAGCTACCAACTTCTGAGCCATTTTGTTTTCTGGTTTGAGCCCTGAGCATTCTGAGCACATAATCTGTTCCTTGTCAGAGCCATGTGCCAGTGAGAAGGAGCAGGAAGGGAGCAGGCTGGCATCAGAGGACCACATGTGTAGAGTCAGGACAGTCCCAGAAGCTGAGGTCCAGCCCAGAGGTTCCTCCATACCTGGAGTTTGCAATGGAGGGGATCAAGTCATGGGGAGGTACTGCATGTAGGGCTCTTTCACTGATTTACCTGCTGGTATTCAGACTCTGTCCATACTGACTTTTCACCTGAGTGGTATAGGGTGCAGCAAAAAGGAAGGAGCCTGTCTTGGTTTCTTTTCTTGTTGCCCTGATAAAATTCCCCAACAAAAGCAACTTAAGGGAGGGTTTATTTTGCCTCGAGTTCTAGGCTACAGGTCATCATGGTGGGGAAGTCACAGCAGCAGGAGTTTGAGGGAGCTGGTCACAGTTGAGAAGCAGAGAGTGACAAATGCTTATGCTCAGCTCGCCTCCTTACACAGTTCAGGCTCTTTGCCCAGGTCCTTCCACTTCAACTAACCTAATCTAGATAATCCCTCACAGGCATGCTCAGGGGTCTGACCCCCAGGTGATTCTAGATCTTTTAAAGCTGACAGTTGAGACTGACCATTGCAAGACCTAAGCCTCCAAGGAGCTCACACAGCTCCCAAGTTTCCTAAGGACCTGTTTTTTTTTGTTTGTTTTTTGGTCTTTTTGAGACAGGGTATCCCTGGAGCTCCAGCTGCCTGGAACTCACTCTGTAGACCAGGCTGGCCTCAAACTCACAGAGATCCGCCTGCCTCTGCCTCCCAAGTGCTGGGACTAAAGGCGTGTGCCACCACGCCCAGCTAGGACCTGTTTTTTAATGCTATGGACTGTCCCAAAATTTTGTGAGGATGATGGGAAGTCTGGGAAAGCCCTAGTAATTCATGTTTTCTTTTTCCTGAATAAAAATTAGGAAGTTAAAATGCAGATTCCTGAACAAAATGCAGATTTCTGAACAACTTCTAATTCTGACTATGCAGGGATGGTGCTCAGCCCAAGACAGCATTCCTAAACAAGTTACTGGATTGATTCTGAGCTTATCAGCCTGCACCACATTGGGGGACACTCTGGGGAGAAGCCAATGTGAAGAGAGAGGGCCTGGGTAGAAGGTCCAAGCTGTTTGGTGTTTCCTGAGGGACTCAGGCCTGCTCTCCTGAGCTTTCTGAGTGGCGAGTCCCATTTGCTCTTGCAGTAGCCTCTGTATGGTTATTTTTCAGGTTCATGCCTCCTGATGACCCCCTGGGCCGCCATGGACCAACCCTGAGCAATTTCCTGAGTAAGAAGCCCAGGCCCCCAGAGCCATCCTGGCAGCACTGTCCCTATGGTGGGTAGCATCCAGGCTTTGTGGGCCCTGTTTTGGGACTGGTATGGGGCAGCACAGGGGCACAGTGAGAAGTGTTGGCCTGGCAGTTAGCAGCCTGGGTTCCAGCCCAAGGTCTGCCCTCAACCAGCTGTGTGACTCTGGAGAGGAGTTTAGTCTTTCTGGACTGCAGTTTCCTGAAAAAACCTTGCATGGGACCTTGTGAGGGCTGGATGCAGAGCCATACTCAGGGCAATGCTGTGTCTGAGGGGGAGGCAGGCCACGTCTCCCAGCTCCTGATCTCAACCTGCCTTGGAAATTACTTAATGTCCCTGGTTTTTGTGCTTACAGAAATTTAATAAGACAATGGGTGACAGTCGAAGCCATTTGTTGTTAGAATAAAGGCAACTATCCATTTAGGTTGGGTCAGCCTGTCAAGGTTCACTCTCTGAAGTGCCTGGGTTTAGATTAGCAATTATTTGGGCTTTGATCATTTCTGTTAAAACAATTATGGGGACAAGGAAATGGTTAGTGCAGGGGTGTGAGCATTGCTGGAAACTGAGGCAGCACTAGAGACACAATCCATTCCCACTGCATGTCCATCTTCATATGAACCTTATCCACAAGATCCCTGGAGAGAAGGGGATGTAGAGGCTAAAGGTGTCAGAAGCAGAGATTTGACCTTAGACCTGGTCAAAAGGAGTCCCTCGATGGATATACTCTCCCTGCAGAACTCGGTTATTGAGTTCTGAGCACTGTCACCAATGCCACCCCACCCCAGGGCACTAGCCACCTCAGTCACCTTCAGGTCTGAGGTCTTTCGTTGGACCAGAGGCAGCAACCTCAGTGGAGGCCTAGGAGAGGTCAAGGGCCAGGCACTGCAGCAGGGCACAGTCTTTGATCGTCCCAGGTCACAACGTGTCTCTGTGTCTCTGCTCTGCGTCTTCTAGGGAAGAAATGCACCTACGGGATCAAGTGTAAGTTTTACCATCCGGAGAGGCCTCACCACGCGCAGCTGGCTGTAGCGGACGAACTCCGCGCCAAGACGCGGGCCTGGCAGGAGCCGCGGCCACCGAGTGCCCGGGGCAGCCCAGCAGCAGCCCGGCCGCTTCCCTCCGAGACCGGTGCGACCTTGGCCGCCCTGCGTGGGAGCTTCTCGAGGCTGGCGGTCAGCGACAGCCCCGCCAGCGGCGTCACATCCGGGCCGTGCGGGTCCAACTGGCTGTCCTCGGGCGGCGGTGCATCCCGGACCTCGCAGTCCCTCGCTGCCACTCTGCGAGGCCTCCCGAGCCCGCACAGCTCGTGCATCCCGAGTGCCCTCGGGTCCCCGCTCGGCCCGCAGCTCCAGCCATCGGTCGGACACAGTCCCGGGGACCTGCACAGTGACCTACCTGTGCAGCGCAGACCTCCCGACGACCCCTGGGCCCTCCTGCCCAGCTCCGACCGTTTTCTGAGTCACTCTGTCTGGGCGGAGTCTGCTTGGGGTGACCACAACCGTTAGGGGACCTTCGGGGTCAGCGCAGCCCACAGCGGGAGGCGAGGCTGAAGTTCACACTCCCGGCACATACCGCGCTCTGCAGCATCTTCTAGTTGACTGAGGGATGGCCTCCAACCTGGCCGGGGTCACCCTCTACTGAGATCCCAAAGGACTGGTGCGTGGCTGAGGGTTACTTAAGGGACAAATTCAAAACACTGCAAGGAGTGGCCGCCCTCTTCCCTTGCAGGTCGGGCAAGTGGAGTTCAAGATGGTTGCCAGCCTGGACGAGCATGACTCGCCTCTATGGGCCTCTGTTTTCTTTAATGTTGATCAGGGGAGATTTCTTTCTCCTACTCAGTGATGGGTACCCTTGGGGTTCTTGGAGACCCTCCCTGAGGCCAGGGCCTGCTGCATGAGCCAGGTGATTTCTAGGGCCCCAGGTCTTACTGAAGTTCCAAGGCTTTGTCCAGAACAAATCCGTGTCTGGCTCCAAGTAACCCCACAAAATCAGTTCAGTGGACCATCACCACAACTCCAGTCACGTGATCAAGCTGAGTTTGATATAATCTCTCTCTCTCTCTCACCCTGGGAAGCCACATGAACTCGTTATGGGTCAATGGTTAAAAGTTTGAAAAAGATCTTGACTTTTGTATCCTCAATAATGTTTGTAAGGTGATCAGGTTGCCAGGGAAAGGTAGGAACCCACCCATTTCTGTGGGGCTCTGAGGGGTTATGGGTGTCCCAGGGGCACTTGATCCTAAGGGTCTCCTCACTGACCTTCACTCGCTTTGCGCACACACACACACACACACACACACACACACCACACCACACCAGCCAAATATGATATATAACACACAATGCACACACTGCCTTGCTCAGAGCTCAGCCTGTTTTTATCAGCTTTCCATTGTGGAAAGTTTATAGAACAAGCCTTTCTAAACCACAAAAATCAAGCCCCCCCCCCCAAAAAAAAACCTCAAGGTGGATCAGCAAAAAGTTGGCCTTTTGTGGAGGTTTATTGTAACTTTTACTTTTTATCTTCTAGATAGCTACTGCTTTGTGTTGGGGGGAAAGGAGGCCCATTCATTTGCAAGGGACAAGAATTGAGACAGTGGTGCCAGAGCATAAACACTGCATTCTTAGGGGCCTGGCATTTCCAGGCAGCACCCACCTGTTCTGAGTACAATGGTAGAGGTTGGAGAGATGGCTCAGCTGTTAAGAGCTCTGGCTGCTTTTGCAGAAAACCCGGGTTCAATTCCCAGCACCCACAGGGCAGCTAACAAATGTCTATAACTCCAGTTCCAGGGGGATCTGAAACCCTCTTCTGGCCTCTGTGAACATTGTCTGACACTTGTTACAATGGTAGCCTACCAGGGTGTGACTTGTTTGTTAATGAGTTACTCGGTAGCTCAGTAGGCCAGGGAGCTTATGAAGAACCTACCCGTGAACTCTTTTCCCCCAAACTTGCAAGTTCCTGCAGTGTGGCAGGTGCACTGGGTAAATGCCACTTTGTTATGAGGTTGCCTGTGTTGACGCCAAGGGTGTGAGTCAGGGTTCAACACCTTGGCACTAGAGCAGCTATAGGACTTCCTGTCATCCTTTCCTCATCTTAAATCACATTTGCCGCATGGCTTCATCTAGATGTGTGCCTCACCCCCTTTTTTGAAGGGGACTCTGTCCCCAGAGTATTGCTTTTTTATCTTGAGGCCTGGGTTTTGAAGAGGGTCCAGTCTTTCTAGATCATTCAGGCTTTTCCCTTTCACGTGTGTTTCCACAAGACAAGCTCACCATTGTTAAAGCTGCTTTTGATTCTCAGGCCCTCTCTCCTGCTGCGTATTGCCGCATTGCAAATTTACAGTTGGAAATGTTTAAACTGCTTCCTCTGAGGACAAGTTTGAGTTTTAGTAAGCTGTAAAGCTATTTTATTTGGTTCTCTGTGATTAAAGCAAGTACAGAAAAAAAAAACCAAAAAAACGAACAGCGCATTTTAAGTGTAATCCTCTTTGGAAAATTTCCAAAGTCTTAGTATGTCTTTGTGACACAAAAGCTTAGGTTGGACATGTAAATGGAATGTTCCTAGTTGCATAGCTGTTACTGTGCTCCAAAAATAAATCACTTTTTGCACACCTGGACTCTGTTGTCAAATTGTGTATTCTCCTGTCAGAGCTCTCCACTGGTTTTTCAAGTTCACAATAGTGAAGCCTGGGATGGTGGTCAGTTTCCTTGGTTGCTGTTCAGTGTTCTTGCTCCCTTGGGGGAGAATGTGAGGGACCAGGGCCCACCTTTTCCCTAGTAGACTCTAGGTCCACTGTAAGCACATACCTTTGCTAGATGATTGGCAGGCTGTTCCCAAGACCACAGGCTGCTCAGCAGTGTGCTAGACCCCAATCCTTATTCTAGATCCATGGAGGAGTCTCCAGAACTGAATTCTTGCTGAAATAGCAGCAGAGGAGCAGAGGCTGCCGTGGTGCAGCTTTCTCCAGAGGCTCTGGAAGGAGATTTGAGGCCAAATCACAGAATTTAAGGCTAGGGGGGTAGAAGTGAGAAAAGCCACTTGAATCCCAACTTTGCTTTTCTATAATCCCAGATGGCATGCACCAAACCAGCTGTCAGATGGCATGGGTAGAGTTTGGATGAAGTCATAAAGGCTGGTGGCCTCTGTTGGAAAGAAAATCTCCTATAGGGTGGGTAGGGGGTAGGGAGGAGATATTGGAGAGGGGACAGAGCATTAAGGAACAAGGAAGATGCCAAAAGGGGGCAATGGGTTCTGGGAGTTGGACTGATTCACTGGCATCACAATCCCATCATGAGGGCCTGCATGGAGCCAGCATAAGCTACTAATTTGGCCTTGTGCACAATTAAAATATGTGGCTCCTTCTAAGTGATTAAGAATTCAAGATGAGGGCTAGAGAGATGGCTCAGCATTTAAGAGCACTGGCTTCTTCCACAGGACCCAGGTTTGGTTCCCAGCACCCACATAGCAACTAACAACAGTCTGTAACTCCAGTTCCAGGAATCTGATGCCCTCTTCTGGCCTCCATAGGTATTGCATGCATGTCTTTTACATACACATAGGCAAAACACTCATACACAGAAAATAAGTAAATAAATAAATTAATTAAAAATAAAAAATAAAAACAATATTTAAAAGGCCATGGTCATCCAGGGAAGGTGTTACCCCAGGCCCCACCTGAGGGTGAGGGAGCTTCCCAGTGTGATCCCTGCCCACCCCTGATGCAGAATACCAGAGAGCAGAAGTAAAGGGGCTTGGGCAAAACACACAGGGGACCATTCACTTCCAGTGGGTAAGAGATGTCAACACCTGGAGGTAATTACATTGTTTGTATTAGGGAAGGTTCTTTGGCTACAATAGTGGCTTACAGAACCAAATGGCAGAAGGCCAGACGTACAGGCAGCAGTGAGGTGGATCGGAATTTGGAGCTGTGTGGTGTCTATTTCTTTTTGTATCTGTTTCTTTCTGTTTATTGCCTCCTTCTAAGCTTTCTTCTACACAGTGAGGGCTATTCTGCTGGCAGATTTAAGAACATGTTTTTTCAGCTAAGAAGTCAAGAAAGAGCCAGCTTGGAAAAATCCTGGTGAAGAGTCTTGATAGGCCTGGTTTGAGTACATGCCAATCCCTAAACCACTCATTGTGAGATAAGGAAATACTGTAATCAATTCAGTCTGGATCTCTTGCCCACCTCTGGCTAGGACATGGGTGTAAATTGTGATTGTGAACTCCTGCACAAACCCACAGGGTAGAGGGGGGTTGGAAGAAGGGGAGGTGATCAAATCCCTCAAAGACAGGGGTCCTTTGTCCACAGGAAAAAACACATGCCCATAATAAGGTTCAAAACTGGGAACGGGGCCAAGGCTTAGGATGGCTCCCCCTCTCCTCCCTTGACCTCTTGTCCTTCACGTCTGCTCACCCACAGACGGCTTAAGCAGGGGGAGGGCAGAAGGGCCTGCTACAAAGCCTCAAATATTCTGGCCATGAAGCAAGATGAGGGCTTGGATGGAACACTACCTCAAACCCCCATGGTTACAGAAGAGGCTTTTTGGAGTCAAAGGGTGATCTTGTTCCCTTTGACTCATAACTGAACTGATGCGTCAGAGCTCAGGATCATAGCAGCTAAGTCTGTCAACTGGTGACCCACCTGGGCATGAGGGGCAATGGCTTGACCCAGCTGGATAATTCATTTGTTATGAGCTCCTGGGGACAATTATCTATCACATAGCAGAATGAGAAACAATTCTAAAAAACAGAAAAGGTATTGGGAAAACAAAAAGACAAGTGAGCACAGTGTTCAGAAGCTAGCTGAATGCCATCCTTAAAGCTGGCTGACTGGGTGACACTGACTAACCATCCTTGACTGATGCCGCTTGACAGGCAGATACTAACACTGACTACTGACTAGCACTGATCCACTGACCTACTGACATTGATGATGACTGATAGACTGACACTGACAGTACACTAACACATTGACTAACATCAATAAACTAACCCTGATTGATTGACACTGATTCCCTCATTGACTGACTGACACTGATGGTGACTGACAAAGAAAGACAGACTGACAGATATTTACTCTGGCTTACTGACTGGCTTATACTGACTAGCAATGATGAATATCTGTTGACTAACACTGGCTGACTGATTCATTAACTTGTGGATATTGATTTTGATTGACTGGATGACAGTGTTGGTTAGTTTTAACTGTCAACTTGCCACAAACTAGAATCACCTCATTTGAGGTGTTGTCTAGCTCAGGTTGGCCAGTGGGCATGCCTATGGGGGATTGTTTTGTTAATTGATATTGGAAGACTCTGCTCATTGTGGGCAGCACCATTCCCTAGGCAGGGGGTCTTGCTTTACATGAGACAAGAGAAAGGTAGATGAAGGCTAACTAACAGAAGTAGGCACCATGGGTTCGTTTGCTTTTGACTGTGGGTGTGACCTATTAGCTGCTGGAGTTCCTGCCTTGATTTCCCCTCAGTGGTGGACTGTAACATGGAACTGTGAGCCAGCTAGACCCTTTTCGTCTCCTACGTTCCTTTTGGCCAAAGTCTTTTATCATAGTGACAGAAATGAAACTAGAGCACACTAATTATGAT